AGGCGCGGGCTGTGTCGCGTGGGCCTGCCTCCGTGCCCCGGGGGCGATCCACGCGCCCCTGGGTGTTCCCGGGACGGAGCCCTGTTCTGCGCACTTGCAGGTGACTGTGTCAGCAGCAGCAGACACAGGGTCTAATGGGCTGCGCTGCGCTGTGCAGAGAGACCTGGGCCCAGGTGCAGACCCCTCGCCTGCCAGCACGGGGGGTTATGCGCAGTTGTGCACCGTAACACTCTGCGCGGTTGTGCACAACAGTATGTAGTTGTGCACTGTAACATTATGTACAGTTGTGCACAATAACGCTCAGTTGTGCACTGTAGCATTATGCGCAGTTGTGCGTCATAACATGCAGTTGTGCACCATAACATTATGCACTACTGTGCACAATAGCATGTAGTTGTGCCCCATAGCATTATGCGCAGTTGTGCGCCATAACGTGCAGTTGTGCACCATAACATTATGCGCAGTTGTGCGCAATAGCATGTAGTTGTGCACCGTAGCATTATGCGCAGTTGTGCGCAATAGCATGTAGTTGTGCACCGTAGCATTATGCGCAGTTGTGCACAATGTACAGTTGTGCACTTTAACATTATGTGCTGTTGTGCACAATAGCATGTAGTTGTGCACTGTAGCATTATGAGCAGTTGGGCACAACAGCATGTAGTTGTGCACCGTAGCATTATGCGCAGTTGTGCAGAATAGCATGTAGCTGTGCACCGTAGCATTATGTGGAGGTGTGCATAACAACACGCAGTTGTGCACAATAATAGAGCTGCTTGGCTGGGGTGGGCTAGTGCCCAAGCCTGCCCAGGCACATGGGTGTCTAATGCCCCTGAAAGCAGGCGTGGCTGGTGTGGCTCTTGGCTTCCTTCCTCCTCCTCTCTCCTGGGACATAATCCACAGCACCTAGAGCTGCCGGGTGCAATATTCCTGACCCAGACTGCGCATGGGAAGCCAAAGCAGCTGCTGTGTGCGCTGCTCCCTTCCGGCAGAGACAGCCTGTGGGCTCTGGAAAGCTGCCAGCATGGCCTTGAGCTGAGAAAACACAAATGCCTCGAGCCAGAAGTGAGGTGTGATGCTCAGCCTCCTGCTTCTTGCAGAGTGCGTTGGGGTTGGGGTTGGGGTTGGGGTTGGGAAGGACAGGGCTCCAAGGGAGAACGGGGGGTTGTGCATTTTCATTCCCTGCATCTGCGTGTCTTGGGCAGCGGGTAGGTTACTTCCAGCCTGTTCTCGGTGCACGTAACAAATAGTTGGCAATCCAGATATTTTAAACAAATGAACAGTCCCGCTTGTTCGTACCCATCTAGCTGAGCTGCCCGTGTGTTTCTGGCCTTGGTTACCTTGCTGGTCCAAGCCAACAGTTTCCTCCTTGGTGTCAGTTACCACTGCTGCACCTCTGTCACAGAGGAGGCCTGCAGCACACCCCTTTGGGCTTTGCTTTGTCTCCTGTGCCTGCCCAAGCAGGACCCCCCACCAGCCCATCGGGGGAGATGCCCTTTTGCACATTTTCCCAGGATCTCTAGGGTGTCGGTGTTCCCCAGTGTAGACAGCACCATATGGCTCACTCCAGTGTCTCCAGCACAGTCGCTTTGAGATGCAGGCCCTGTTCTTGGCCACCTTGCACAGCCCAGTGTCACTTAGACACTATGATTTGTTGAGCAGCTTTCCCCCTTCAACGCAGTATTAGTCTGGGTCTGATTCTCCCATCTCCATGGCAATAGCCCAGCTCCACTCCATTTCCCAAGCTTATCTCTGCTTGTTGGCATTGATGCTGTCCTTGAAGTGAATGGAAATGGAGCTGGGTGCAGCTAAACCTGGCTCTGAGTGGCTTTTCTGGACCTACTGGCTGGGTGTGTTGATAAATGAGCTGAGCTAAGAGGCACTCCTGCTGTCTAGACAGGCTGGAAGCAAAACTGGCCTGCAGAAGATGCTGCCACCAGGAAACTACAAGCCTTCCTCAGTGGTTAGCAGGAGGCCACTAATGGTGTGACAGTTGAGTCCTTGGGACAAAGGATGCAAAGACAGGACCAGGAGGGCAGGTCATGAGTTAGTAACAAAGGGTCCCGGGGGGAGGACAGTGAGCAGAGAGTTCTAGCCAGCACCCACCGCCACTTAAGCATATCTGTGCAGGCTGTCCAGCAAAAATCCCCGGGGCTGTGCACAGATGATGTGTGCGTGAATGGGAACCGCAGGGTGATGGCCTGTCTGTGCACAGAGACGTGTTGTTCTAGCCCCAGGTGGTGGCTGCCTGTCCTTGTCTCTAGTGCGTTGTAAACAGATGCTGGCGGGAGCTCAGCAGTCCTCACGCAGTGCTGGCCTGTGGAACGCAAGCTGCAGTCTGTTTCTCTGATCTCAGGCCGGCTTTCCTGCATCTGCGGCAGGTGATCCTGTGTGGAGACCTGGGCCACTGCATTGCCATGCAGAGGCTTGGGGCAGATCTCCGAGGACAGGTGAGGAAAAGGTCTCAGCTTTTCAGTCAGCAGCTGCAGGTGTGGGACCAGCATGTCTGGGGGCAGGCACAAGCCAGATGCATGGCATGACTGCCCTTCCCTGCAGTCAGTTGTCCTGGGCACTGCTGCTTTTCTCTGCAGCAGGGGAAGGCGACTGCAGGTGCTGTTGAATGCCTCTGGGTGTCCCAGGCATTGTCACCTGTGGTACTGCAGAGTTCTGCCCCTTGGCTCCTCTCCCCACGCCCTTCCCAGTGCATTGGGGTGTTAGTGTGTTGGTTTTTTTCTCTTTCTTTCGGTTTTTTTTCTTTTGCACTTCTAAGCTGAGCTGCTCCTGGCCGTGTTTTCCCTGACACATCAGAAGTGGAATTTGGCAGGGAGGACTCTGTTTTTGGGTGGTTCTCTTGTCTTGAGGTTACTTTTTGGAGTACAGAAATGACCCGCCTTTGGAAAGGGGTGTGAGCTGCACAGCCAGGAGCTGGAGGAGAGGGAAGGGCGGTGTTGTGAATGTGTGGCTTTCCCTCGTGTGGGTGGGTCCTGGGCCTCCAGGGCTACCAGAAGATCTTTGGTAGGGTGATGGCAGGCAAAGCCTGGGCCACACGCACAAGCCAAGTCGTATCTTCTCCAGTGCTTGTCCAGTCACTTGGTGCCACTCCTGCCAGGTTTTCCTGCCCTGCTCTGGTGATATCATCCAGCAGCTCACCACAGGGCAGGGGTGGTGTCAGGGGCCTCTGCACCATGTCATGTCCAGCTCCCTGAAGTGCTGTTCCTTTTGGGGCCTTTCAATGGCCCCTTCCCCCTGCCTGCCTTGCCGGCACTCTTTGGGGAGCTCTTTTGATAGGCTTATGGCAGCAGGATGCCATGTCAGGCTCCCCTGGACCTCAGGAACCAAGTGAGGGCTAATCCTGCTAACTCTGTAATTGCTCGGGCTGCATACATCAAGCAGCACTCTGCCGGTGCCAGCACGGTGCTGCTCTGCTGGATGAGCAGGGGGGCTTCAGCTGCGCATGGGCCCTGCTTCTGCCACCTACAGTAGTCTGGTGCTGTCACGACTGCTCCTTTGATCTGGTGTCTCTTGCTTGCCGAGGCTGAGCCGAACGCAGCTGAAGCCCCCAGCTGCTCTCTGATTTGCATAATCCATGGCAAGGGAGGTGTTGGTGCAGGACAAATTATGGGTCATTCTGCATCCTTCAGCAGCGGTTTGGAGTCCTGCTGCCTTCACTCACACCCTTGGGAAATTGTTTCCCGCTTCCTTGGCTGCGTTTGACCCACCTTTCCTCATTACCAGGAAGAGACCCTCAGAACTGCAGCCATGTCTGACTTTGTGGAGAGTGAAGCAGAGGAGTCAGAGGAGGAGTACAATGAGGACGGAGAGGTGGTTCCCAGAGTCGCCAAGAAACTCGTAGAAGAGGATGATGACGGTGAGTCGTCTCAGCTGCCCCATGCCCAGCACCTGTTGCAGAGTTCTCAGCATGCTCTGCACTGGCACAGACTTCCTGGTGCCAGTGCTGCGCACCGGTGGGTTCCAGCACCAAAGGGCCAGAGAGAAGGAGGCCTTGGTGCTAAGTCTAGCCTGTCCTGAGGCCACATAAGGCTGCAGTCTCTTGGGAGACAGGCGAGTGCATCCCCTGACAGTGGGGAAGTCTCCTGGCGGTTGTCTCCATGAGGGAACTTACTGGCAGAACTGCACCAAGCTACAGTGGCAGGGATGCCGGCTTCATTCTCATGTGCACACCGACTCTGTAGGAGTGCGGTTGCAGCGGTATGGGCCTGTCAGCATCTTCCTCGTTTCCATCAGCCCTTTGTGAATCTGTGGCCTTGCCCCGTGGTTGTTGAGTGGGGATGACATGATAACACAGTAGTGCAGCAGGCAGGACAGGCTGTGGGTTGTGCCAATGGCAGCAGGGTAGTGCTCGCCTTCACATGGGGCTCCAAAGTGCACCTCCTATTCCCAGTGTATGTTTCAGCCTGCGGAGGCCCTTGCAGTGACCTGGGAAGGGGAAGCTAACCAGCACCAGTGGCCTCAGCCCCCTGTCCCCTTTCAGACCCTAAGTAACAGGCCTTGGTGTGTGTCTGGGCCTCACTGGCAGGGGAGCCATGGGGAGCTCTGGAGTCTCAGGCCTTCCATTTAGAGCCCAGGCTCCAGCCTTCGGGCAGGTGCAACAAGGGGCTGTCAGTCAGGGAAGCTCAGCTAAGGAGCATCTGCAGCTCCTCCAAAGAAGGTCAGCAGTAAGACTTCCAGGGATGCAGCTCCCTGCACCAGGCTGAGCCCTGTCAGGGGCTGACTTGGGCAGTGTCTGCTTGGATCCCCTTTCTGAATGCCTTGAGAGAGTTCCTAGAGCCTGGTTGGGGGCCTCCTGCCTGCCCCTGAAGCTTTTCTTGTCCTCTATCATAGATGAGGAAGAGGAGGAGGAGAATCTTGACGACCAAGATGAACAGGGTAACCTCAAGGGGTTCATTAATGATGACGATGATGAGGAAGAGGAGGAGGAGGAGGAAGCCAGCGACTCTGGGGACTCAGAGGATGATGTTGGCCATAAAAAGAGAAAGCGCAGTAAGTTGCCTGAGCTGTGGTCTGTGACAGTGCCTGTGGGCCTCAGCTCCTTGGGACTGGGGGTTCCTCTGTGCCCATCTCCTCTGGCCTGATCAGCACTGGGGCTGGCCAAGCCATCACCCTCTGCAGCAGTCTGAGTGATGCTCTGCTTTCTCCTGACAGCTTTTGATGACCGCCTGGAAGATGATGATTTTGACCTCATTGAAGAGAACCTGGGTGTCAAAGTCAAAAGGGTGAGTGGTGTTTTCATGCTGATGCTTTGTGCGGCAGGCTGGGATATGTGCTTGGTTTATGAAAGGAAGGGAGAAGGAAAAGACGCAGCAAGCTTCCTGCTAAGCTGGGGTAAAGCTGGAGGTATGGAATTGTTGCCTTCCTTCCTGTA